TGTAAAACAGGGCAAAACCCACTCAAGAAATGTCTCGCTCAAACGACAGAAAATTGGGGGCTCACCTGCCCCATTTTACAATCTTTCTCGCCACCGTCGTTAAGCGGATCACTGCGGTTGTTAAGGGAGTAACCCGGCTGTTGAGCGGATCTGGTTTCCTCGCTGACGTTGCTCGTCAGTAGGTCGCAAAAGGGGATCGCGTGACCCTCCCCCGGGGACATTGAGACCGTCATAAATACGAGTCAGCTGCCAAGCATCCGAATTCCGATCACGTGAGCCTAGAGAATGCTGCGACGGTTCTAAGCTTGAAAAGGTCCCGTTTTTTTTCAGCGCCGTTGTAACTTGGAACGGTCCCTAAACGGACGGCCGTAAGTCGAGAACGAGCTGGACTTCGTGGCGCTCAAGGTGGGCTCCGGAAAAAAATGGACGGAAAACAGCAGATGTTTGATCCAGCCGTTGTTTTGCCGTCTTTGAAGCCCCCGTTTTACACACTTCCACACACATCGTTGCCTTTAACAATTCCTCTTTGCTACCGCACAGCTGTTCGACTCCCCGGCTTCCTGAAATCTTCAAATAACCTGGTTTTAATTTGCAATTCTTGCGGTTTCCTCCATAGAAATTGGCTGGAAAAGCAGGGTGGAAATGGGGAATTCTCAGCCCACCGAGCCCCCCCGGAGAACTGAACTAGTCCACCAGGAACCAATTAAAAAAAAAGCCCCTTCCCCCAATTCAAAGTTTATTGCGTTATCCTTTGTAAACACGAAAGCGCTTTAAGGGGGCCGGGGCGAGGCCGAGCCGCACATTCCTTGCGAACAAACCCAGATCAAGTAGCTATTCCTCCCCTCGAAACCAGCTTCCAGATGTGGAGAGGAAGCTAAAACGTACGAAAAACAGTTGCGGGGAATTTGGGAATGTTTAATTTAAGGAAAAGACGGGCCGAGAGGGGAATGGAGAAGACCTTGAGCAGGGGGTTGGACTAGAAGACCTCCAAGGTCCCTTCCGACTCTGTTATTTTGGCTCAGGACTAAGGGTGACATGATCCAATATTTGGGGGGGGGAATCATAAAGAGGGGGGTTAAAGCTGTTCTCCAAAGCCCCTGAAAATAGGACAAGCAGCAACGGATGGAAACTAATCAGGGAGAGAAGCAACTTGGAATTAACTTCCCAACTGTGAGGACAATTAGCCAGTGGAACAACTTGCCACCAGAAGTTGTGGGTGCTGCAACACTGAAGGTTTGAAAGAAGAGATTGGACAATTGTTGGTCTGAAGTGGTATAGGATTTCTTGTCTAAGCAGGGGGTTGGATTAGAGGACCTCTAAGGGCCCTTCCAGCCCAATTATTCTGGTTTTTAATCACCCTGTCCTCTCCAAAGGCCCTGAAGGCAGGACAAGAAGCAACGGATGGAAACTAACTGAGGAGAGAAGCAAGCTGGAATTGAGGAGAAATTGCTCGACAACGAGAACAATTCACCAGTGGAACGACTTGTCACTAGAAGTTGTGAATGCTCCAACACTGGATGTTTTTAAGAAGAGGTTGGATAACAGTCTGTATGAAATGGGATAGGGTCTCCTATTTGAGGAACAGGTTAGACTAGAAGACCTCCAAGGTCCCTTCCGGCTCTATTACAGGCAGTCCCCGACTTACGACCACATTCCAGCACACAAAAGTTTCTGTCGCTAAGCAAGACCTTTGTTAAATAAGCTCCATTCCACGATCTTTCTTGCCACGGCCGTTCAGCGAATCACCGCAGGCGTTGATTGAGTCACACCATTGTTAAGTGAACCTGGCCTCCCCCCCCCATGGACTTCGCTTGTCGGACACTGCGACTGTCATAAGTACGAGTCAGGGGGCCAATCAGCCGAATTTTGATCGCGTGACCAGTGGTGCAACTTCGGACGGTCACTAAATGGACTGTTGTAAGCCGAGGATTCAATCTTTCTGTGTTCCGTGTTCTGACTTTCCACCAAGTGACTGGGGAAATCTGGGACGACGTTTCCCCACCCCCCCTCCCCAAATGGGAGGACCCCCCCCCTCCAGCTTTACCCCGTGGCAGCAGCCATGACGCAGCCCCCCTGGGACGCCGTGGCCTCCACGCAGCAGCCTTCCATGTCGTGTCCCATGCCGAAATTGTGGCCGATCTCGTGAGCCATGGTGGCGGCCGCTCCGATGGGCAACTCCGAATGGTCCTGGTTGTGGGGAGGGAGGGAGAGAAAAAAGACTCATCAGCCAGTATTCAATTCATCTATGTATTTATGTTTGCTTGATAGAGGATCGGTGATATAATGTATAACCCTAAGTATATATTATAAATAGCAATAGCAGTTAGACTTATATACCGCTTCATAGGGCTTTCAGCCCTCTCTAAGCGGTTTACAGAGTCAGCATATCGCCCCCAACAAC